ATGCCATTTGCGCGATGTTAAAATAGTTACATTGTTGTGGCAACGGAGTTGTTATAGACTTTCATAAAATCCCTCTTTTTAGCTGAAACTTGATTCTAAAAATACAACCGAGAAAAAAACTATGTCATGCGGAAATAACATTTAAATGTTTATTTTCAATGTCTGAATAATCACAGAAGGAAACGGTTTTTTTTCATTACTTTCCACTTTGTCAACAATTAACAGAATTGGTGTTTGAATACAGGGTGTTAGGAAAGTAACTTTCGTAAATTTTACAATCGATTTTTTATTTAATAAGAAAATTGTATAACAGCTTGCAGTCAAAATTTGGCCATTTTCGAGAAAAAACGTTAGAGCATTTTGAATTTTTCTTCAGTACTTAAAATTGGCAACGCCGCGCAACTGTGACAGGTATCGTCAGTGTTTCTGTAAAAATAGTATCTTTATTGTGTTCGACCTCTAGATATTGATTTTGCAAATAAAATGTAACATATTAAAAACGCAATGATGTTAAGGAAAAATTTGATATGGTTTATTGAAAACAACTCAAATTTAAAATAAATATGTATGATTTTTTAACAGAAAACTTTTTGAGAACCGCTGACTTCATCAGTGTTGCCGGTGTTACTCAGAACTCTTTAATTCTAATTTTTTTAAATGAAACTCGAAAACAATACATAAAAATAAATAAACTTTTTTTTAGATGATACGTCAAACAAATCCCGATAACTGAGCTATTTAAAATAGGTAAGTTATCAATTTTGCAATTGTGTCCACGTGGATGGGAAGAATACGAGTGACCAGTTGTTGATTAAATGTATTTTGTTATAACTTATCATTTAAGTACCTTATTTTTCAATAATTAAGTAAACAATTTAACATATTTACTGGTATTTAAAAGTTTGTGATACTATTTGACTTATTGAAATTCATGTTTGCATTCGTTATGCGTTAGAGTTAGATTTAACCTGCGGTAAATTCTGGATTCAAAAGATACAAGTATCCAATTTTTTTTGAAATACCGAAGAATTTCACTAAGAGATATTGTTAACGAATCCAAGAAGGCCGTAAATGAGAAGTTTCAGTTGTTCTTCAAAAAAGATGATTAGCTCGTTTCTTGTAATGAAGCCAGAAACTGATTAATAAACGATAATTAATTAATGTCCGTTAAATTCAGATTCAGACTTCTGGAGGGTAATAAAATTTTATTGCATTTTCCTGTTACGTTATTAAATTATAGATGTAATAATTGAGTTACTCCGAATCCTGAAATGTTATTTGGTTTAATAACCTTAGAACTCTGGTTGATTGCCGAAATCCAAATATCTTATTAAAAATATCAAGTACTTATAACACCGAGCAGAATTTTATAATTAAAAATAACTCTTAACTAAATAAATAAAGAAGAAACTAAAATTATAAACTTTGTTTCACAATTGAAAAAAAAGACGTAGCTGCTCTTTATGAAAAACATCTAAAAACCATTTTATAAACATTTAAAACAAAATAATGAGATGTATAAAATAGAAAAAATTGTAAATTCCCAATATTTCTGGATATTACGAAATTCGGACCTAATCAGCACAACACCCTGTCTATCATTAATCTGAGAAACCCAGGAAGATTCAATGTTCCAGAGAGGCCATAACCCAACATAGTGATTTTCTGCCATGGTTTTGAAAATTATTGAATTATGAAAATCCACCTTGTGATCGAACGTCAACCTTGGATATTTGCAGTCTATTAAGCAGGGACGGAATCCTGTCCAGAGTGTGTACTCGCCATTGAACTTTTTATAACATTTACGCTCATTCTATTTTCGTATTGTATAACTGAGACCATATACATACAAGATTGTTATATTTTACACATAATAAACAGTAAAATAAACGTTTTTCTATAAAAAATTTTGAGTTAGATTCTCTCCAAAAAAAATCACAAACGGGCTCTAACGCTTCCGAAGCTTCTCAAGCTTCCCGTTTAAGTCAGTCCTTGCCTACGACCTTGTCCCTATGGGTACTCAGCTCATTAGCTGCATTTACATGACCTCCTATGAGGCGCAGTGCCTTAATGAACCTCAGAACCAATACCCAGCCACCACAAAGACTATAGAGTCCTACTACTCGAAGTGCTTGCAGAAATCCTGAAATTTTAGTAAAAACAGTGCAAAACACCATACAGGGTCAATCGAAACCCTCAAACTTGAACTCCCATAGGGTCAGTTGAACCCTACTTGAACTAAAACCAGTAAGTGAAGGGCAACATCTGTTTCTTGGATTATAGATTAAATTGTGGACTATCTTCTTTTGCAGCCAACAACCTTGTCATCCATGGAGAAAGAACGAGCGATTAATCTCCCAGCACCGTTGATGAAAGGGGACCCAGATCAGACCGTTCAGTCAGACACCATCCAGATGCTAAATGAGGAACGTGAAAGGCTACCGCCGGTGTCCCATAGCCCGAAGCGCCACAGCGCGAGGGTGGAGCGGCAATTCAACTTGATCCTGTGGTCGTTCCGCGACAGTAAAAGATCAGGGAAACGTGAATGTTACAAATTAAAACTGGCTGACAAGTTCTGATCTCGATACCCTAAAATATTAACAACACCCTGTAATAACGGAATAGAAAAATTCAATAAAATGTTATGACCTCCTAGAAGTTCCGATGCGAATTCAATTGATTTTTATTAACTAATCGTCTGTTATATCTGTTTCTGATATAATTACAAGGATCATGCGATTAAGTGATATGAAATAAGGTAAATATGTGTGAGATGAAATAAGGTAAATAAGGTGAAATAAGGTGAAATAAGGCAAATAAGGTGAAATAAGGTGAATATGGTGAAACAAGGTAAATAAGGTAAATAAGGTGAAATAAGGTAAGTAAGGTGAAATAAGGTAAAGTGAGGTGAAATAAGGTAAGATAAGGTGAACTAAGGTAAATAAAAAATAGGTAAAAGGTAAATAAAAATAACAGAATAGAATCGTAGGACACACTGCGTATTTCGATAACATAATATGACGAAATAATAGAGGTAATAGTTAGTTAAATTTTTGTTGTGTGATTTTTACGTTTTTGGCTAAAACTGATATTTTTACATCGTACTATGTAAAAAAGAAATTTAAGAATGATGCTGTGTATTTTCGTTGTTTTTTTATAGAAAACATTAAGTGAAGAGTGCTCTGATTTTGAGGGGTTTTGGATCCAAGTATATTCCCGAATCAAAACAGAGATTAAAATCCGTGAAAAATATTTTACAAAAATTTTAATTCTAAAATTTAAAATGATTCCATTTCAGTGTAGAATTACTATCATGTCAATTTATACAACAAATTAAAATATAAAAATTGTTCTACAAAATTTAAATAAATGAGCTTATTACTGAAAAGTAAATAACTAATTTTCGATATAAAAACAGAAAAAAAACTATTCGTCGTTGTAAACTGCTTTCTATCCTGTTCGATATCTAAACCTTACAAAAATATCAAATTTAGCCTCAACTTTGTGTCAAAATATCTGTTTACGACGAAGAACCAACACATCTGAAAAATAACCGTGCTGTAGTAATAAAATAAAAGTTTTATATAAACGTATCAAATTTAATGTGTTCTATACAGACATTAACTTTAAATTACGCTTTTAATTAATTTTTAATTAGCCAGTTATCATCTTTCCGGATTTACTTTATCATGCCTTTAGGGCTCTATATCGTACTCTCTGTTTATTTTGTACATTATTAAATTATATTATTAGGGTAATAAAAATCAAAAACATTTATCCTCTTGGTTCAGCATCTACATTAGGATAAATAGGTGTTATTTCTCGATACGCATTGAAAATATTTTTCTAAGTAAAACTCGAGGTAAAAGTAATATTTTTTTAAGAAAGAGTGTTTTACTCTTCATTGATGTAAAAATAATACATTTTAAATTCCGTCTATTTATAAACCCACATTATAAGAATTTAAATCTCATAATGTGGGTTTATATCTCGAGAAATAAGCACTCTACGAAAAGAAGGCCGGAACCAAAATTTAATCGTTCCGCGGGGGAAATACATTAGCGCTCAAATTAGCCCCCCTCCCCCCCTCTTTGTAGTGGTACATTCATAATAAACCTAGTGTATTAACTAATAGATTAAAATCATTCATTGTTTTTCCAGCGCATTCTTGATATGATTTAGAAAACGAGCACCGTAAACTAAAGTCAAAGGCTGAAAGTTTTCTCATTTTGTGTCATGCAAAGGCATACAAATTTTATATAGTTGGAAAGAAAATAAAAAAAGTCAGTTAAAACGTGCAAAAAAATGTATACAATCCCATTTAAAAAAATATCGACGACCACTCATCTACAGTGTGACGAAAAAAAAAATTGTGCGTCAGTACAGAGAAAATAACATCCCGTTAAAAAATACTTTACAGGGTGTCCAAAAATGGGTAACCGAGGTCTTTATTATCAAACAGACTGGATGTTCTATTGTAAAAATATAGTTGTTCTTGTTTCGACTAAATTGTGTAAGTAGGTTTTTAGATTTTTTATTTTATTATATTAGTTATTACAAGATTATAATTATTATTACAGTTTTAATTTGTAATTTGTAAATTGGCATGTCTAGATTTCTGGTATGGAAGAATAGTGTTCGATTTCATTTGATGGGATTTAAAAAAATGTTTTTTTCCCGGTTTTCCAGACTAGTATTCATTGACCCTGAATTTTTTTTCGGAATGTTAAACCCCTAGGTGTGCCCGCCTGTAGGACAACGTGCGGTGCGGTATAGCTCGTGTTTAGTCAATAGGAGAACTCGGGGGAGCGGAGAGGCCGCCTAAGACGCGTATGCACTTGTTGCGGAATGCGGCTATATGAAATTCAGCCGGGAAGCACAGGTCTGCTGAGGCTGGGTTGTGTATTGATCGGAACTGGGTGACAGGAGGCGAACGAGGACGCGCGGGTACGAGCACAGGCAGTGGAGGTCGCGTGGAGAGATTTGACGTCACGGTGTACCTTTATCAATGGCCATGAAGGTAGCTGGCGGCACACGTGCCCGCTGCACTCGCTGTGGAACAGACCATGGCAGTTGGCGGCCGTGGACAGCCAAGACCTGGAGCTAGGGCCGACTAACAGGCGAGCTTGCTAACGTGTAAACATGACGATTTAACGGCCGAGGGCAAAACCTGTACGTCAGTTCACTCACTGCAGCAGCACACTCACACACCGCCTCACTTTGTCACCGTGTGGCCCCTTGGACGGCGGTACACCCATGTTGAGCGGCCGGCGGCAGCGGCGGCGGCGACGACGTACTCTATCTCGCCTCGAAACTAGCCACGACCCCGTCAAACCGAAGAGCTTATGGGCTCGGCCGTACCGTGGACGAGGACTGCAACAAACAGTAAACCAGATGCGCCTTGCGTCTTGCGCGGTCCCGACGTTCCAGAGACGCGCAGCGCATGCCACAACCACGGCGCCGACGCCCGCCGTCCGCCATCTAACACCCGCGTCCTCTCAGAACTTCGGCGATTTTCCGCCGACGGCCGAAGCAGCGCCGATCGCGGCACCGTCTCCACGGAGAACGAACGGTACGGACTGCTCCGTACTTGGCCCATATTTCGCGGCTACTTCGACTACGTGTTATATCAATTAGCTGCACGCAAAGAAATATATTAAAAATTTACACTATTGACTATAACTCACACTTAGGGGCGAGTTGTCATTACTTTTCCGAGATACAGGGTGTTATAGTCTGTCCGAAGTCAGTTGAACATGTATAAAAACGCCTAGCAATAAAATTTAATTAGTATTTTAATTATTTATGTCCTCAAACAATTTTATTATATTGATGGTAAATTTTGGTTATGACGTATCAAAAAACATTTTCATTAAAATATATTACTGCTTTCCAAGAACCAACGGAAGGTATGATGAACATATCCTTGAAAAGGAAAGGTTGTTAGTTTAGGTTAGAAAAGTTATTTAATACAAATAATCAACAATAAAATAAATAATACCGCACTGCTGCACTGCAATGCAACAACTGAAATTTATGGCCCAGTCGCCCAGTGCGGCTGTGTTTGTCCGCGCGCGCATTCGTCAACTGGTCGTATACATTTCTACCACCTCCACGTTTAGTTAGACCGGACCTGTATATGGGTATAGCTAAATAAATATGGGAACAAGTTGACCCTCATTTGACCTTTATCTAAACGTGTGGGGTCATATGGACACCGGGATCGTGATCAACGGCCCCAAAAACATGAAGGTCCCCTAGTCTTGGAAAAAGGACTTCGATTCCTGCTTGTGGGCCCGTGATTGTTTCCAGGATGCAATGACAAGTTACAACAAGTCGCGGAAAACTTAAAAGAACGTTAATTCTAATAACCTTGTGCAAGATAAGGATGTGTATCTTAACGTAATTTATTTTTTGCTCAAAAACCATTATGCCTATGAAAAAATCAACTATCTAAATCATTTTTAAATGATTAAAATTGGTTATTTCTATTTGCACAAAAGTCGTCATTATGCAAGACCCATATATGTGGCAAAAAATCCAGAGGTGTAATAAAATTGTTACGTTTTCTACTATAACTCGATATTTTGTTATTGTAAGTTTTAAATCCAAAGTTAAAGCGACAAATTAATCGTATCTTCCAACCCAGAATTAATCACGCATCACAACGACGATATTTAATAAACGATTATGTATTTTTAACTTTGAGTTGCCTACTCAAAATGAACATGAAATTAACAATATCGAGTCGGCAATTTGAGTACAAATTCTATTTACACAAGCGAAAATAAATCGAAGGCCGACCTGTACAACATATTGATCAGTAAATTGGTGTGTGCAAAGCAGTTATTACTAGTGATCTGAAAGAATCCCAAAGAAAGTTTTATGTCGCAACAATATTTATTTTATTAATGCTTAAAATGCTTATTTTCAATTAAATATAATCCTTTCAGTAGATATCAAAAGGTGCACACAAATACTAACAATTCAAGTTTTATTTAAGTTGCAGAAAATTTGACACAAACACAAGAATTTAGAAAAATTGCTTTTATACTGCTTTTTATATTTCAGGAATGGACGATTCTGGTACTGTCATGTTTTTGTGTTGTTTATAGTGACTTGAGAAATTAATCTCAACAGGTGGAAGAATACCAATAAACAGAGAAAAACACTAGTAATAGCGCATTGAGCTGTCGGGTCGAGCCAGTCGAGTGGTGTGACGTCACAGATGGTCTGCGAACAGCATAGACCGATTCAAATTTTTCACGAATCGATATTGTCAATGCATTCGAAAAATGAAACATGGATGAAACAATAACGAGTTTTTTTACGAAAACTTTAACATCCTGTATATTTTTTGTGTACGCTTTGCTTTTAAAATTTCTTACACCATTTTTTGATGCCCTTTATTTTAAAGTTCCATCAAAAGCTTGGCTAAGAAAATGAACAATAACTATGACACAAATTGTATCGGACACAAAACGGGAAGAAAAATATAGACAGGTTGCTTAGATATATAACTACTTTACACTCGCCATTCTCTTCTTTGTTTAAAGCGTTGTTTTTCGTTTACGTCCACCCTAGCGATCCCACCCTCCACTTTCATTATATTTTCGTTGCTTGGCAACCCCCACGACCTAGCGCTACCCCTCGGATCCGAGCTTTGCTTTACCATTTTTGTCTTATATTACTCAATATGACAACCTTCACGGTTAAACGTCTACACATATATATATACAATTTTTCATATCGCTTATTTTTTCGCCCGATGATGTGATTCAATGTAAAACTCCGCAAAACCATTTACAGGAATGCCTTTCGAACTCCAATCACGATTTTCATTTAAAAATCTCCCAGGACCGAAAAAAATCTCTTTGTTGCATTTGTAATAGTCGTCCGTTAGTTTTACTGCAGCACGCACAGTATTTATTTATTTGTCCAACAGAATACTTCCATTTACAGGACAAAGTAAAAAAAAAAACAAAAGAAACTAATGATAATACAGACAAAGATAAAATATTAATACAATAACTAGACTAAATAAATAATACTGAAATATAGATTAGAAAGAAACAAATATGTACATGTATAAATTACAGTAGCACATCTTACGGTACGTCACAATTATTTTAAAAATTATGTAATAGTACACCAATACTACAACTGAAAATATCACATATATGACATACAGAATTACAGTTGCTGCACATAACATGGTGAGGCTATTTCAATAAAATATTGGTGCGAGCAGTCCCATTGTAAAACGTACATGTCACACGATTATTAATTCTCGGCACAAGAAAATTAATTTGAGCAAAGAGGTTCGGTGCATCAACGATACTGTGCAGTAGCATATACAGGGTGTTTCAGGATTAAGTCGACAAACTTTAAGGAGATATTCTTCATAAAAAAATAAGAAAAAAATCAAGTATGATTTTTTTCCAGAGACGCTTCATTTTCGAAATATAGTTAAAGATTTTTTAAAAAAATTCGAATTTTTTAAATAACATCTAGTAGAAGTCCTACAAGCAATCAGTGGCGGAGTTATGGGGACACAGACTTATTAAATTATAAAAAAATTAATACGGCCCTACTGAAAATAAAAAATGATGCTGTTTTTAGATAGAACAGTTTGTTATTGACAAAAAGTGTACATTCACTTTTTTTCCTAACTCTTATAGTTTCATGGCAAAATTGATTTTTCGGAAGGGTGCTTCTGAATTTCGTCGATAAACTTTAGGAATACGTTCCTCATAAAACCTAAACAACCTACATATTAAAATTGGTCTTAGTCTCCAGTATGTGTGAGTCAAATAAGCCTTTTTGTCTCCCCTTTCCTTGGGTTTAACCAATAGTATTAAAATTATTTAGGAGATGCTTCGTTTTTGAGATATAGGGTGTTTTTTTTTTAGAAATGATGATGAAAACAATAGAAATATTTAAGTACCTAACATCTAATGTGATAATTGCTAAAAATTTCAAAAATTTCTTCTGTGCTCTTATCAATCATATTAATGTAATATACATAGATGGGGTTCCACACTAACGAGCAGTATTCCAATTTGGAACGAACATATGATTGGTACAGTTTAATCAGAACATTGTTGTCACGGAACTCTTGACCCATTCTAAAGACAAAACCCAACATCCTCATGGATGATGAGACAGTCAGCTCAATATGTGAGGAAAAACTAAGTTTATTGTCGAAAAGCACTCCCAGATCTTTAACTTCATCTACTCGTATCAAAATTTTAGAGTCAATTCGGTAGTCATAAATAATTACATTGAATTTACATGAGAATATAACAGTCTTGCACTTGGAGATGTTTAGACTGAGGTAATTTGACACGCACCAGTGAGTTAATTTTTTCAAATTCATTTGCAAACAGTCACAATCATATTTTGATTTGACAGCCGAAAATATTTTCAAATCGTCAGCGAAAAATAACTTATTACGTGTAATGAGTGAGCTCAAATCATTGATACAAATATAAAAAAGCAATGGGCCTAGGTTGGGGCCTTGTGGAACTCCTGATGTAGACACGTAGGTGTTAGATTTGAAGCCATTAAATGTAACATATTGAGTGCGATTTAACAAATAAGAAGCGACTTATTTAATCAAAGACGCAGAAAAACCATGTCTCTCCAACTTCACCAACAGTAGCTTATGGTCAACTCTGTCGAATGCTTTGGAAAAATCAGTGTACATCACATCTACCTGCCCTTGCTGGTCGATAATATTAGATAAATATTGAGTAAAACAAATCAAGTTCGTATTAGTAGAGCGCTTATTCATAAAACCGTGCTGGTCAATGGAAACAAATGAACGAATTTGAAACCTAACGTTTACAAATTCGAGACGAGATTCCAAACAGAGCTTGAAGACGGTACTTCTACACAATGGAACGCATGGTGCAGAAAATTAAAGACGTAAAGCAGAATTGGCAAGTTTGTGGTGATTTGAAAATCATACCAACAATGTACAGTTCTAACTTAGTAATTATGTCCAATTAAATATTAAAGACAAAAAATGGTGGAGGCGCCGCTCGATGTACACTGTGACATAAAATCACAAATATTTCCTAAACTGTTAATTTTACGAACCCAGAGGGTATTATCGTTGGCAAATTCTTCAGGGAACTTATTTTTGATACAGGCAGATTGCGATCGTCATCTATGCAAAAATTTTGGGTTGTTAACCATTGGGCATAGTCCGTCCCTGGCGTTCTGGGCATAATGAAGTTTCACTTACAATATCAAACACAAGCTGTGCGCATGTGTTATCAACCACCAAATCTGCATCATGCTGAAGTTAATAGTTCAGAGACTATAAATAAAAATAACTTTTTAATTTTCACTTTGAGGGCCCGTAACTTGTTAACGAAGGCCCGTATGAAAAAAATTTATATGAAGAACTGACATTATTTTGAGCTCATCTATTTGTACTCGACTTTTTTGTATTAAGTACCGGGACACCCTGTATACAAATTTATTTTGTAAATTCAAAAACACATGAGAAAATTTTAAATAACGTGAAATTACTATTCGATTTTTTTTAATTGTAATAACAAAAATTTTAAAAATATTAAGGACTACTGGAAATTCATTTCAAAGTGTTTGTTTTTAGTACCTACATTAAATGTGCTATTTTATGCTGAATTTTCAGATTTAGTCGACATTTATTATTTATAAAATATTCAACAAAACTATGACAAAAATTTCATACCCATTGCTTTAACTACCCATTTGTCTACGTTTAAAATTCCTAGTCACATTAAAAAATCGCTTTCAGAGTAATTTTTTTGATATTAAACTTCTAATAATTTTTTTTAAGTCTGAGAATCTCAGCCAACAGCTTATAACTTCACAAAAAAATTAAACAATTTGAATAAACCGTTCAAACATTGTATTGTTAAGAATTTTTAGTATAAATCTACAAATGACCCTTTATATCGATAAAAAATGGAAATAGACAAGTGTCTATTAATGGTAATTTGATATTCCCATCCCCATAATGAACTCCGTTTATGCTAGAAGTATGTAAAATTTCCCGTGACTCACCCTATATTCAGACAAATTCAAGAATTTTTTTAATCTTATCAAATAAAGTCAAACAATGTTTCTCAATACTAGAAATTTAGGTGTTGAGAAGACATTCCTAGATTTCTGGTATCGAAAAACGTTATTTGAATTCATTTGACAGAATTTTAGGAACAATTTTTTTGAATTTACTTGATTAGCGTATCTATATCAGAGGGTTCGGTATATGAAATGAATGCTTTTTATTAGGGCTGGGACATTTTTTTAATTTCGTATTCGAATAGTTACTTCAATATTTATTCGAATATTCGAATTATTACAATATTCGATTTATTACAATATTCGTATTATTACAATATTCGAATTATTCGAATATTCAAATTATTTGAATTATTCGAAAATATTATCGAAATTAGGTGGTACATACTCAAATATTCGATTTATTCGATTAATCTAATCCAGATAATTATAATATTACACTATTATAAAATGTAGAAAGTTCAAATGTATTTTAAGAGAGCTGAACTTGGTAATATTGTACAACTTACCCTGTCCTGACGATATACTTTGTGCGTGACGTCATATTCGACTATTTATCTATTCGAATAGTTAAATTAATCGAATATTCGAATAGTGAAGTTATTCGAATAATTCGAATGTTTGAATAGTTAATAACTCGAATACTCATATTTTTGGAATAGTTACATTTACACTTATTCGAATTTATAGATAGTACTAATTCGAGTATTCGAATTATTCGAATATGATTCCCTGCACTACTTTGTATGCATTCATAGCCAGCTCCGCTAATAGGGCATGCATGGAAACGTCGACAAAGACAGCTTTTTGGCGTATAGTTAAATTATTCGAATAGTTAAATTAATCGAATAATTCGAATGTTCGAATAGTTAAATTATTCGAATAACTCGAATACTCATATTTTTGGAATAGTTGCATTTACACTTATTCGAATTTATAGATAGTACTAATTCGAGTTATTCGAATGTGATTCCCTGCACTACTTTTTATGCATTCCTAGCCAACTCCGCTAATAGGGCATGTATGGACACGTCGACAAAGACAGCTTTTTGGCGCATAGTTAAATTATTCGAATAGTTAAATTAATCGAATAATTCGAATGTTCGAATAGTTAAATTATTCGAATAACTGGAATACTCATATTTTTGGAATAATTACATTTACACATATTCGAATTTATAGATAGTACTAATTCGAATTATTCGAATGTGATTCCCTGCACTACTTTTTATGCATTCATAGCCAGCTCCGTTAATGGGACATGAATGGAAACGTCGACAAAGACAGCTTTTTGGCGCTGGCTCGTCAATAGTACGCGCGTGAAGGTCGGCACAAAGCGGGGCTAAGATGTACGTTCGGAATAATATCTGATTAATCTCTTTGCAGCGGAGAAGTAATGCGTGTGGCAACGTCGCGTTGGGCCGAATAGGATGTTGGGTGGCTGGTTCGCAGGGGTGGTCGGGCGCGATAGTGGGGTGGCTGGGGCGGGGGTAGGATGCCCTAGGCGGGCAGCGGGTGCTGCAGTATTGGGTGGGTCAGACATCGCAAGAGTAGACGTCCCATGCGTTTGCTCCGGCAACATTCTGTTTCCTTACATTACACCTAATCACGTAATTACCTAGTGCGTATCGATGTTCTAGTGCCGTGGGTATGTTTCTGTGACTGTTCAGAGATGATGTCGGACTGTTCAAAGTTTTCCGTTTATTTCGCAACGTGGTAAGTGGTTCAGTCTATCGTAAAGAACGTAGTCGGCCTATCAAAACATTAGCGCGACCGTAGATATCCATGAGGGGTGCACGTTCACTCGCTCTAGCCGGTCGCGAAATTTCATACCCCTTCCAAATCAATGAAAAAAACGCACCGCTGCGAATCTAGTCGTCCCTGCTCGACAGGCTTGCTTCGTTTTATTCGCTAAACGTAAGATTTTACTGTTAAATTATTTACTATCCACTAAATTCGTAAGTTTCTTATTATCATTCAAACGACAGAAACTTTGCCGTCATATAATTGTTTGTTTCAACATCAAACAAAGTAAGTACCTTGAACACTGCGCATCCACGTGATCGTATTAAGCTAACTACGCAGTAACGTACGTCACATGACGATTCCGTTGATACTCCACCAATATTTTTCCCAGTTTTCACTTCAGTTGTTTACTAGATGTCATTTAATGCGCTACGCATGCGTATTTTGTGTATCTGCATAAACTGCTGACACTGACACTTCCTCACAACTCGTTTGTCAAATATTTAATACAATATCTTTAACTAAATTGTTAGTATTATTTAAACTACACTACATATTTCACATAAGCTTAGTCATCGTATAATTATCTGTGCGTCCACGTGTCTATCGTAATTAAAGTTCTGTGCGCAAGGTTAGAAATAGTCATAATCAGTTCATTTTCAGTTCAGTTGTTAACTAGACCATGTTCATAGAGCTACGCATGCGTATTTTGAGTGTTTGCATAAAATGCTATAAGTTGCAACAAAATAAACGAAGTACTAAATTTATATGATATTTCATGTAAGTTTATTCAAACTGTACTACATATTCCACAGATATAATTTGTTTAATAGTCTTTCCGAAGTCAGTTGAACATGTATAAAAACGCCTAGCAATAAAATTTAATTTTAATGAGTTTTATAGGCGTCCCTAAAAAAGTTTTCTGCTAAAGATAAAGAATTATAATAATTTGTATATAATGGTGTAGAAAATTTCTATTATATGTTCATTTGGCCAACAACATATTTTAATTATTTATGTCCTCAACCAATTTTATTATATTGATGGTAAATTTCGTTTTGTTCCGTTTCAAAAGGTCTCCAAAATGTTGTGATAATATCAGTAAACAAAATATCCCTCTTATTTCTCCCTTTCGCAATTGTAACATGAATGATTAATAGAAGGTGCCTATAACAAATTAAAATTACCTGAATCACATCAAATTCCGCATTGCTGCACTGCACTGCTAGGCAATTTGTCAACCACTTTTCAACAACTGAGATTTATTGCCCAGTCGCCCAGTGCGGCTGTGTTATACGCCGTTTGCCCGCCCGCGCATTCTTCAGCTGGGCGTATACATTTCTACCACCTCCACGTTTAGTTCGACCAGACCTGTATATGGGTACGGCTAAATAAACATGGGAATAAGTTTTTCAAATATTTCAATGCCGAGTTGCTGCGTCAGCGACCGAACCTTGTACATACTGCCAACCTCTTGGTTCTTCAACTGAGATCGGAAAGACTATAACATTAAATTAAACTAAATATTACTCAAGTACTTCAACACTGCGCATCTCGTGCTAAGCTAATGACACAGCAGCGTACGTCTCACAAGGATTCTTCTTAATCAGTTGTTTACTAGACAAAGTGATTGCGCTACGCATGCGTATTTTATAGGTCTGCATAAATTATTATAGTTGTTTAAATGTCTAAAAAAGTGTATATACAGGTTCGGAAAGTACCGATGGTCCATCTGCCGTTACGTGAGAGTGATAAAGTAAGACATAGAAATCCATGCGATAGAGAAGGATGGCTATAATGAAGGCGTCTTATAGTCACCGCCCGTTTCGCCCTTCCACAAATAATATCACTTCTTACAGAAAGTCTTCTTAAGATGGCACCACTTACATATTGCTTCTGTAAACTCGACCACAGTTGATAGGAGCCCGTTAGATGCTCTAGAAAAGCGTGATCGCCAGAAGAACAGGCCTTAGCCGGCGACGGCGGGTCTCAGCTGGCCAGTCTCAGCCAGGGCAGGAGGAGGCCCCTCGAAGTGATTTATGAGTGATTTATTTGTACACTCAATATGTAGTTAATTAAAAACCAAGTCTAAGTAAAAAATGACTCAGGAACAGTTAAATTTGAATCATATTAGAGAAAAAGTCAACTCTAAATTGGTTTTATATACTCTCGGGTGTGGACAGAGATTGATACGTTACTGAGTAAAATTGAGTGAAATTTGAGTGAAATTTTTTTACAGTGTATACTCTATGCCTCAAAGGGACTTTGTCGTCATATAATTACTTCCTTTAACATTAACATCAAATTCAATAAGTTGGGCACTGCAGCAGCGTACGTCCCAAGAGGATTTTATTTATATACCAAAAAGTTCACTCACCAAACTTCATAAAATATTTAATACAATACTCAAGCTATATATATCTCAGAGAAACTTTGTCGTCATATAATTATTTGTTTAGAAGACAAACAAAATTGGAAATTGAAGATTCTATTTATATTACACGAATATCTTTATTCAATAAAAAGTGTTGACTATCATATCTAGAGTTCGATATACTCGTAAGCAGCTTATAACAGAGTCGTACTCACGACAACTCGGCACAAATTGCTGTACATGAAGGTGTTCAGATTTCATCAGCAGCTCCATATATTAGCACCATGTCCCTGAATCGGTTTCTGTCATTGATGTTATTGATAATACATTATACCTACCGTTAAATCATTCTCTCCAACACCTGTTATTTCAGTTATGTAATAACTAATTTATTTTACACCACTCAGCCTACAAACTGACGCCACAGACTAATCGATTGAATAATGATGTACTTGCAAAATAACAAACGATCTATCTATTACGGCTTTTGAAATGTTGGAACGAGAATTCCTTTCTTTAGCTTTCCAACTGACAAGTAAGGTGTACACAAACGATTTTTCATCACATATTCATATTTAAAATTAATTATCCCCTTAAATGAAGCTTTTCAAGTGCTCCCATGCCATGGCTAATTGACTGTACAAGCGTCTAAATTTAGAATATGGTGTAAATAATTTGTTTTTTATTTTAGAACTGAGGAGTCCTAACACACAACAAAAAAAAATGGAAGTGGCAATGCCTATGTCGGGCAGCGCCATCGACTGCTACGAAGACATGTTTAAGGAAATCACTAGGAAACTCTACGGCGAAGAAGGATTACCGGAATTAAACACCAATGACAGACTAACATCCACGAGCCAAGACCGAGGGTTAACACCAATTGACTACGAGGTGGACAACCCGCTATTAAAACCAGAAGAACACCTGACCGCATTTGGACTAGCAGCGTTGATGCAGAATGGTTTTCCTCCAAGCGGTATATTAAACTCGGGATTCCAAGCGCATAAACTGAACACGGGAATGGTTTTAGGTTCGGTTCTAGAAGACAAATGGATTAGCAGCGAGGAGAACCTACAGTGGACTCAGTCCAAAATAGCAACATATAACCCTTCCCATAAGTTGTTCCGCTGTACTGAGTGTGACTGTGTGGGATACCTCTTAAGAGTAGCAGAGCATTGGTTGGGAACTCACTCCACTGTACGCGCTTTCCATTGTTCTCAGTGTCCGTACGAAAGTGCTTGGGCTAGATGCGTCAGGATACATTTAAGTCGTCAACACAATATAAACACGGACGAATCCTGCGACACACTGACAAAAGATAACCCCATTTTACAGGAAATAGTGAAGTATCTACAGAGGTTGAAAAATAAACTCGAAAATAATTGCGGGAAGTCTGCGCAATGCGCCATACCTCAAAGCGAAGAGTTCCACAATCAAACAGTAACGAGTAACACAAACGTTCCAGTCACAAACCAATTAGGTGCATCCCCAACTACGAGTATAAGTAACGATCAAAATAGTTCCACTACTAAAAGGTACAGCTGTACGTTCTGTCCTTACGCTACAGACAGAAGAGATCTGTTCACTCGTCATGAAAACATCCATAGAGAAGAAAAACCTTTCCAGTGCTATGTATGCCAGAAGCAGTTCAACAGAGCAGACCACGTAAAAAAGCACTTCCTTCGTATGCACAGAGACCACCCTTACGACCTCAACAGGATACGAAGACATCCTCCAAAAAACTCATCCGGTATGTCTTATTACCAAAAATACAACTCCAGTCCTCACACCCAACCCCCCGACTCGATAAACTCCTTATCCACAATGAGCTCCTTATCGATCCCTGGATTTAACAACATCAGTAGAAACCTGAGTAACTCACGTGTACAGCAACCCGACACGAAAAGTATAGGGAAAATAACGAACGGGGCGAAATCCGGAGGGAAGAAGAAAGGAGAGAAACGATTTACGTGCTGCTACTGCTCGTGGTCAGGAGTGGATAACTGGTGCCTTAAGAGACATATGAACACGCATTTAAAACCGTTCGTGTGCGGTTTATGCGACTACAAAGCCGCCAGATCGGAAAGGCTGGCCACACACGTGCTGAAGGTACACAACAAGAGGGCATGCGGCAAGTGCAATTACTTGGCCGATGACTTGACTCAGCTTTCTGTCCACCAACAGGAGCAGCAGTAAGTATGCGTCGATTTGGGAAGCTTTGCGATGCGAGTAACGTTATGTTTTGTAGCCCCTTAGAAAACAGGAATAGGTCGAGCAGTAGTAACGTCTTGCGAACCAGTACCAACAGCTTTAACGGCAATTCCGCCGTTTCTTCAACTAATTCCATCGCAAACAGCAATCCTTCTTCTTGCAGGTAAAAAATAAGCATTTTAGTAATCTAGTCAAAAGTGTTGTACAAAAAAGTAAAATTACAATAAAATTAAGTTGCTTGTGATACAGTTAAATATCACAATTGCAAGGTGCCTGCAAATATTTCTGTAAAATTAACATAATTTCACATTTGGAGCAGATGAAGATCTTCGTCAAATTTTCCAAAAAAATTGTGCTACATTAAACCAGTTGCTGTATAATTGAAGATGGAAATTTTTATTCACGTGAAATTTTATATACTACATTTATATATTCTTCTGTAACTCTGCAACTATAAAATTTATAAACAAATTGTTTTAATAAAAGTTGCCTGGAATCATGTTTTTCTGGAAAACTGTTAGAGATAAGAGTATGGACAACCTTATGTCAGTCGAAAGGGCATTCAATTTTGCATTCACCCATGACAATTAATATGGATCATTCCATTTGAAAAAAAAATGTTTTTCAACTCGTAAGATTATTAAATGTAGGTCCCAGTATTTCCGAGTCTGAATAACGTACACGTTTTGCTCACAGATGACAAGATAGAGTAATTTATACCAAAACGAACTGTGAAAACTGCAGGTTTCTAACTTTTACGGTTTAGACGCTATCTAACCTCATTTAGAGTGCTGAAACCGTGATTTTTTTTCAAAAACAACTGATTATCTCGAAAACGGTAAGTTTTAAACAGCATGTACATTTCATAAACTTTACCTAATATTAAAATAACAAAGTTATGTAGCGCCCACGCGAAATGGAACACCCTGTAAAACTAAACATATTTTCTTTACATAGCCTACATGATTCCACGCAATTTTTATTAAAACCAATTTTTTTATCAATTTTGCAGTTGCAGAGTTACAGAAGAATCCTTCTTAGGTGGATCACCCTGTATATTGCAAACATTCAGTGGTTCAGGGTCATGTACATACCCTAAAAGCAGAATGACTGGAATAACTATTTTTTTCTTTAAACCACCAAAATCCGACAAAACGTTTGAAGTTTGATTAAAAAATTCCAGGATAGAATCGAGAAAATCGAAATGGTCATCGTGTAAATTTTTTTGAGAGATCTTTGTTTAAATAAGTCTCAAGATGTTGTCACTGTTTCTTGAAATAGGTGTACTTTAATAGCCCCGTCAATATCTATAATAATTTATGAAACAATTTATCACTTATTAATATTTATAACTGAATCTGCAATGTTTCTAACTTCCAGAAAATTAGGAAATAAAATGTTACCTTCATTTATTATAAAAAATCGGATTGTTGTCCTTTGAAAATATTATTCAACTTATGTTTGAAGACCACTTTCACTTGATTCAAAATAAACTACAATATGCCCAATTTGTAAGAACAATGACAAAGCATATATCGAGAATTTATTGTCTCCGAAATTTCAAATTTCGCTATATTGTTAACGATCAGGTGGTATTACACAAATTCACAGTATTTAAGTAGGTACTATAGACATATAGATTTCACATACCAGATCGTCATATACTTTTGAACCAACTGATAATGATTTTGAGTAATTTAATTAATTTATAACCTCAGGTAACACTCAAGGTTCAAACCTTGGGCCTTTATTATTCCCTCCCTCTATGAACGACATTTGTAGAGCAGTTACTGTTCATTTACTGATGATATGAGAATCTTTACTTCTATATCATCCATAGGACTTTAATCTTACTTGAATCTTTAACCAATTTACAGACTTCTAGAAACAAAACGCACCTTCATATGTTCAAATTCCTACGAAACCGTTAAAAATCTTGGTGCATTTTTAAATTGTGATTTATTTTTGCGAGATATTTAATTTATTTTTAGCAAAGTAAATGAGATAGCAAAATCTATTAAATTAGTAAATATTTTTATTAAATTTTTAACGGTGTTTCGTCAGCACTTATATCAAGAGTCTGGTAAAGTCACTTTAAAGTAATCTGTTTTTTTTTTCAGTTAAATTTCAGTTCCTCGTTATATTTTTTCCTACGGCATGTTTAAATTGCACCAACCAGTGGCAAAATCATGCATTTGACTTTATTCGTTACATTCCGCTCTACTTTTTTCAGTGTAGAATCTCAAATAACAAATAATCTCTGCGCTCGCTTTAATTTTCCTAATGAATATACTTTTTCAGCCAGGGATTGCTCAAGAGCCACGACTTAAGCGCAGCTGCGGCCCTGCTGCAACACAGCAACAGATTCCTGCAAACGGAAACGAAGTCCTGGAAAAGCCACATACCGAAACAACACGGAGCAGCTCGCCTGTTCAACTACATGGAAGCAAGCGACGGATCGGACCAAGAATCCGACCATCGACCGTCGGAAGAGATCGGCAGGGCCAGTCTGACCCATAACATCCAATCGGATTTTCCTGAAGCGGGAGATGTTGGTAGTCAGGTCGACGAGGAAAACGGAGAGGAAATGGAGCTCCCTTTGTTCGTCTGCCCCACGTGCGGTTGCGAATTCGAAGATGACCTGTCCCTCGAGACGCATCAATATACGCACCGACACAGCGCCACATCTCCCGCCAAAACCGATGACTCTAAAGAGAATGTCGATCCTGATCTGAAGTACAGGTGTCGATTGTGCGAGGCTTCCTTCGACAGCCAGTGGTCGATCATGGCACACATGTCGGCTCATTCTAGTCTGTGTATCAAACCTGTAATACCTTCGGTGGTGCGCTGCAAGCGGCCTAGGAAGCAAAGTCAACCAAAGAAACTAGTTCTACCCTTTTGGGATTCCGACGAGGTCGAGGTGTTAAGACACTTGAACTGTAAGTTGAGGAAGTGGCGTGGAGCGGTCGCATCTTCTAAAGATGGCGTCAGTAAGTTAGTGGACAAGTACATGGCTCAGTTGGTGACCAGGCGAGGACTGACTTGCATCTGGTGCAAAAACTCGGGGCTAAGTAGGTACCATACGAAGGGCAGCCTAGCGTTGCACTACTACTGGAGGCATTCGAAGAGGAAATACCGATGTGAGCATTGTGATATGGTTTTCCGGCACAGATACCAGTGCGTGCTGCACAGCAGTCGCATACACACAAGTCAGAAGCCTCAAATAGTGCCTACGGTGCTTCCCAAAGAAACAACTCATTTGGCCCTAAGTGCTGAATCTGTATGCTCTTCCCAGGACACCAACCATTTCTTTAGTAATTCTCATACTGTATATGTACCTGACTCAACAATGTCAAATGCACATAAATTAGGGATGTCTTTCTTTGATCATTCTTTTATACATTCTACTACCGCAATCAACAACCACATGCCAATCATTATTCCGACCTTCCCACCAAATTGAATTTATTTTTCGATTAGGTACTAATGAAGTGGCCTTTAAATCTATTTTTTTGAAAGATGTTCTTAGAAGTGTTACGTTTAACAATTGCTGATTTTCTTTCTACATTGGGAACATTAACGACGATTTTTATATCAAATATTGAAATGTCTTTATATTTCGCTAGCATTTATTGGAAACGGTGTGCAATATTGTTCTTTAAACTATCTTTTTATATTTATTTTAATGTAAAAACTGCAATGTTTTCGTTGTTTTATATATTTTTACGTATATGTTTCATGTTACTGTTTATTACATCGCATCTTTGTTTGACGTTTCTTGTCTTGTCTGTGTTTTGTATTATTACCAAAAATATAAATATCAAACCAAGTTAAGAGCTTTAATTATACCCAACAATTGAACAGTTCGGTTCCGGAACTGGCTATATTCCAAAAGTTGTGGGAATATCGAAAAACTATTTAGTAGCGAAATTCATTAAAATACTGGTTGTTTTCACAATATTCATATCACATTTCTTTTGGATTTTGGATTTGTGTTATATTCCCCATATTTGTTTTTCTCCAACCGTCACAAAACTAAAACTGTCAGAAGTCTCTAAGGTTGACATTTCCCTTACTGAGAAAAATAAATGGTATCTTGGCAACAAAAGTATTCACTTTTAACCCTAGGAGCTAAAGATGACACTTTGAATCCTTAGATTAAAACTGTTAATCAAATTGTAATTTATAAAAGTTTATTCAACAATATTTACAATATTTGTTGTTTATCCACATTGATATTAAATGCACAGTTTGAACAAGTATTAAAATTAAATAAACTGCTGAAACTGCCACTACTCTCAGTTTTGGAGCACTTCTCAAAGCAGTCCAATACGTTTTCATTAAGGTACTGAAATCTTAAAAAGTAAAACGTGTAGAACAAAAGTAAGCACAAAAATAAAATCCTTGATGTTTTGTTTATTCATGGTTACCATTCAAATTTACCCAAATAAAATAATAACTAAAAAAAAGCGTTTGTAAAACATGCGTTTTCTGTTATCCTAACCTCACATTTTAAGAATTACTTTCACGTATGTACTTATAAATAAAAGTAAACAGTTTTATATGTAGGACTAAGCAAGTAAATGTTATAAGAATATTTACATGTGGAGTTATGTCTAAAAAAGTTAGTATTTTCGTAGATTTCAGTACCTAAAACCTTGATGGTTTGATCGTTTTTTGCACCTGTTTATTCGTTTTACTGCGGCGTCTTTGAAAATACTTAGGTGGCATGACATAACATTCCTATTATTTGATAAGCTTTAGATTATTCAGTTATTAAATGTTTGAAATTATTTGTCTTTGCGGAAAACACTATTTAAAAAATGTGGGGCCCTTAATAGTTATATTTTCAGATGTTGTGAAATCAGAAATGACAACAGTGCTTGGTTTGTCATCATTACCGCTATCAACTTTCCGTATCCTTTTCGCAATATTTTCTTTATTCAAAAGTGAATTTTCAATGTAGCCTTCTGCCGCAGTGCGCGATCTCCGTTGATTGTATGAATAGCGATCAATGACACTTTCCACTAACATATCTTAGAAATAATCGACGTTTTACCAATCCGGGTGGATGTAAAGCAACATATTTTCGATAAAAACTTAAATAATTGTCTCCCAGGACAGTCTTGGTTTTGGTATTGGGAATTTTTATAATTAAGGCGGATTTTACACCTTCAACATTATCAATTCTTAAATCGACTAATTCATCAGACCGGCATACGCCTGCAACTCCCAGTATTAAATTAAATTTTGTTTTTTTATTTTTTAAGCTTTTATCTTCATAATCAAATATAAATTGTCAGATGCGCTATTCAAAAAGCAATCAACTTGTTCGTTTGTAATTACTCGCGATTTTTTACATACATATCCCTCATTTTGTCTCTTGAGAAAATCACATAGCTTTGAATATTTGCTTATATCAATCCAATTCAAAACGCAAAACGCTTCTTCTCTTTGACAATTTGTTATTTTTCTCTGTAATATATTGCATTCATGACATTATTCGTAAAGAACATACTAGTTGCATAAATATCATCCAGCAGATATACTGGTTGCCTATTTTTTCTTCCAAATATCGACGCCTACTTAGTTCAAAAAGTAACTAACTTACGATATAAAAAAATGCTACAATAACTGATTTAAAATTAAAAACATACCTGATATTTTCATACGGCGACTTAATTTTAAAACTCAAATGCTAACTGATTTGTGTGAAGGTTTTCTGATGACACGACAAACAATTTTCTTGGAATGGCCGGTGTCTAACGAATACTTAGCAATTGTCTCAGTAGCAGTTTTATTCCTTATCTTATTATAATAAAAAATAACATGATTTATACGTTGTATTTGGCTTTGAGCATTAATTTTTCGCAAATTACCACCAATTTAATGTTTCTTACTAGTACTACAATGTAATTGTCACACCTTAATTATTGATTGTCGGATACAATGTATTTGTAGCGGAATGCTTGCTCTGTTTGGATCATAAAGAAAAACTGCCTATATTTCCTTTTGAAAACCTTCTAGTCCAAATAGAGAAGTAGATTCAATGAACTACATAAGGGTCTCATTCTAAGTCAACTCAAGAATTTCATAATGTTATCGCCTTTCAAAGGGTGTAGACCTTTGATACTAGTCCGATAAATAGTAAGTGCAGATGACGGTTCATTGACTGAAGTCACTCACCTACATGTCAAAAATGCTGGAGATTAAAGCCGAGAGAATCCAATTAGGTCTGATGTCCTAGTCAGTTTTGGCGTGACGTCGTTAATTACAAAAGTGCCAATTAAAAAATCTACCAAAGGTAACTCGGGGGTGATCCCAGTGGTTCTCAATGAGTTTTAACAATTTTGTTTATGTGGAACATATCACAAAAACAAAATTTTAATAGAATGTATGTAGTATCATAATGTTGTCTTATTATTTTATGATTAGTTCAAATTTCCAAAACTATTTAAAGGTGGTATTTATTTTATATTCAAGTAATTCACGTTTACTGAGTCAAAGCAAACCAACAAATATTTGATTGAAATCAGTTGTTACAGAGTCTTTCCGGTATTCCCACAACTTTTAGAAATAGAACAACCGGTTGTGAAATGCAACTCTCCAATTGCCTGTTACGTAAGAAACGTGAATCTAGAGGTGTTCCAAATTATAATGAAGATCTTCAAATGCATCCAGCTGCACCAGATCAATAACACAGTACGCGATACGCTTGCGCGGGGTAATAATTTTTAAAGCAAATTTACCGATTCCTGTGGATATAAAAGTTATGTGAAATTCCAAGGCAATCGGGGAGCAATTGTCCTTAAACTAATTAAAATCGTTAGTCGTTAGTGAAGTTAATTTATGCAACAGTGCTCAGAACTATCAGTGAATGGGAAGAATCAATCTTGCATTGCTACAATTTGCTGTAAATGTAATAAAAGTGTGTCTTCATTAGTTTAATTTTTACGCACAGTTCCAATCAAGAGAAGTTAATAATAGTTTATTACTCAGAAAACACTGTTTACCTTGCAGTTTTTTTTCCAATTTTTTCAGATTTTTCTTGGACATGGACATGGACACATATTTTGTGTATATTTTTATTTAAAATAAAACACTGCTTATTTTTATATACTTGCAGACATTTCAAACCCCACCAAAAGTTTTCCTTTAATCTTGGAGGTTTTCATGCAGAGGGGTGCCCCAAGGTTCCTATATTTGACTTTTATTAGTTAATTTGTATACAAGTTATTTTTCTACCTTTTTAAAACAACCTAAAATTCATGTACATGCAAATGTTTGTGCCTAAAACTAATCATGTGTTAACCAAATTGGACACTTTTATAATAAAGTCAATCTCCCTTTCACTAAAGTTTTATTCACTGTAATCCTCAATTAGTAACCCTTCTAAATAATAAAAATCCTGCCAGTAAGGTTGCTGATATTAACTATATTAACGAATCTGAGAGATCTATTAAAATTGTATCTAAAAAATTTTTATAAATTTGTAAAAGGATTAAACTCCATCATCTTCTATATCTTACAATGGTTCAAAGTGTAATAATCCACATACCTTTCAAGTTACTTTTAAGACTCTTTTATTGAATCTACCGATTTTGATACCAATACACAATACAAAGTATGTAATAATAATAGTTCCATTCTATCTCTAACATTACTGAAAATAATAATACACTGGAAAAAAATCGATGTGTGAGTGAAGGCAATAAAGGTTCGGAGTGAATCAATTGAGTGAAATTATTGAGTACATTTTCACTCAATATTGGGCATTTTGATCATTTTACTCATTTGTGGTTATATATTTAAACTAAAACTGAGTACTTGCACTCAAATACTCTTTAAATAAATTCTTCAGGTAAACTCGTATTTGGTGCACCTGTACTTAAATCAGAGTAATCCCACCCTTTTTTATATCCAGATGCATTGTCTTTGTCTGTTCCCATCGGCCCATTAGGTTATCTCGTGACCGTGGCGTGGTGGATGGCAGTATGGCGTATGGTGTGCTTTGGAGTTGGACTTTTTCTCTAATAAATTATATTAGAGAAAAAGTCAACTCTAAATTGGTTTTATATACTCAGAATAGAGTCAAAAGTCACTCAATTGATAGTTAGCAGTGATTCGGATTTGAGTAAAACTCACTCATTTCAGATGCAATAGTTTCAGTCAGTTGTACTCATACAGAAGAGTGAACATTTCACTCAATCGGGCGTGGACAGAAATTGATACATTATTGAGTAAAATTGAGTGAAATTTGAGTGAAATTTGTTTACAGTGTACAACATCTATAAACAAATAATTATCCACAATCTTCAATCAAATCCCCTATTAATTACCTTTCCTGACATTTGGAAGCAGTCTCATCTTTGTCATGTTTTTAAATGTTTTAATATTAGTGTCAAAAAGTATATTTGATTTGATTTAGCTTATTTTTTAAATTTCCAGGAATATGTATTACTTTTTCACTTGTACGTATCCACCAAATACTTTTATCTCTCCCACTATAGTAAATAGACTATTAATACATTGTTTTTAAGGAGGTAAGTGGCTTTTATCGTAGAAGTGGAAGTTGCTATGGACGAGGTAAGTGAGGTAACTTACCTCCCTAGGGAAAAAAAAGCGATTTCGAGTTATAAATGCGTATTTTATGAACAAATAAATAAATATTTATAGTAATTGTACAGTTATTACATTTAGTAACATTTATAAAATCTGGATAATTATTCCCCTCGCGTTTACTAATCG